GTGAATACAAATGGATTTCTTCAAGACAAAAATTTTATTGCATTAATTGTTCAAAATAAACAAGGGCTTACATGCCAATTATGCTTTTAATCAAAGAAATAAAAAGTACGTACAAGCACACAGAATAAACAATCCGATGAGCCCTTCTCTTGATTTCAACGGCTTAAAAAGGATCTTCTGGAGTATACACCAGCATAATGGTATTCCATTCAAGACTGAGCTTTTTCCTTTGAAAGTCAGCATTTCATCATTTACCATTTCTTGAACCTTTTCTTGGAAAAATTTACACTCTTCAATCGAATGCCCCATCGCTCCATCATGAAATTCACAGCTGGTGTTCAAGTTGTACCACGGTGGGCGAGACTTCATGATTCTAGTCCTTCTGGGCGTCATCACCAAGTTTCTTGCAAAATAAGACCATAGTTAACTATAAGTCAACTGGATAGGATTAAACCGGTGAGTTTCTTCTTTCGGAATACTCCGAGGTATCTTCTGATTCTGAAACTGAGTTCAGACTCGTCGATTCTGATGTTGATCTGGAGAAGTCAACCTTCGTTTATGAGGTAGTTTTTGCTTGCGCTGAGCAGGCACTACATACCGATGTTGAGGATAAGGTACTAGAACTAAATCTGGCAGGATTTGAGAGGAATCCCAAATTGCATTAATATCAACACTTTCTTCCTCTTGGGAATCATCAACTGAAATTTCTTCATTAGCTTGGTTATTCAAGTCATCTTGAATTCTTCCACTTTTGAGTGCACTTTCGATGTTCATCCCGACTTCTACAATTTTGGAGAACTTTAATGGTACGATGCCTATCATTCTATAATAATAAGAGTCTGGTAGTGTTCTTAGAAACATCTTGGTTAATTCTTTCTCTTAAAGTGGCAGATGAACTTGGGCTGCCAACTCTTTCCACCGTTGGGCATATTCCCTAAAGGATTCGTTGTCATTCTTACTCATGTTTACCAATTGATCACTGTCTAGAGCCATATCCAAATTGTAATTGTATTGCTTCACAAAAGTATCAACTAAATCTTCCCAAGATTGAACGTTGTCCTTTTCTAGCTTCATATACCACATTAAGGATGCCCCACATAAACTTTCTTGAATGCAGTGAATCATCAGCTTGTCGTTATCAACATAAGCAGTCATCTTTCGATAAAACATCGTCAAATGGTATGTTGGACAACTAACACCCTTGTACACTTCGAAGACAGGCATCTTGAACTTCAGAGGAATAATCACGCTTGGGACTAGACACAGGTTGTGAGCCTTGAGACCCGATGCATCAGCTCCTTTCACCATCTTCCATTGTTCTTCAAGGTCACGAAATCCTTTTTCAATTTCTGCAATTCTAGGATCATCCATCTTCATCTCAGTATGAATATTCTGAGGATCTTGTATACACCGTGAAAACTGGGAATCTCTTTCATTAACTTGATCAACCAGGTTATTTTGTAGAGGCTGAGATTGTGTAGGAACATCCACATTGTCATCAGAAGGAAGATCAAAAATCAGATTGGTTATCACTCTGAAGCTAGTCATGAGATCCATATCCTTCGTTCTCTTTACTATCCTCCAATGATACTTCAAGCTTGGTCAGATGGTCAAGATGTCAGCTGACAAGACAAAGACAGAAGGTCGAATGAGCTACATCAAGGGAGAGACACATGCATATGCAAATGCTAAATGAGGGATGCAAAATGCAAAATGCAGAAGAAAGGTTTCATGGAACTCAAGTATTTATAAACGTCACAGAATACCATAGAAAACTCGTTTTTTTTTTTTTTTTATATCGGATTACATGTAAATATTCTTAAAAGAGTCATGACATAATAGCTAAATAAAAGCTAATAAAGTCCTAAGGTAGTCTTGAGTTGTGCTTCTTGATCTGTTCTTCCAGCTGGAGTCTTTTGAAAATAAGTTTGTGGAAGATCAACCTCCGAGGAATAGTCTGATGTGAGAAAAATAAATCCTCCATCTCTCTTCTTTTCTTGCTGAAAAGTAAGGAAGAAATTTGTTGTTCACTTGGATCTTCAATGATAATGAAAGTCTCTTGTGTTTTTCTTTGAATTTCATTTAATCTTTGATCTGAGCTCCCAACTTCCTTAGGCGATCCAGTTAAGACTCTGAAAAGAATATTTCAAAATTTTTTCTTTTGTAATCCATATTGGTTCCGTAATGTTTACAAATAAACTCAGAATTCCACGAAACCAATGCAATATGATGCTTTATGGATGCAAAGATGCATAAACACAGGCAAGCACAGAGACACAGAGATAATCAAACAGGAAACCTAGGTTTGCAACGAGCATGGAGCAAAGGGTATACCCATCCCCCAAAAGTGTAGACTAAAGGTTGATTGTACTTGTAGAACAAGATTTCTAAAAGGTTTCCAAAATCATTAGTCAATCTTTCAGATATTATCAATTTTCCGACTAACTCGGTGGTTAATAATATTCTCAAGAGAACCTCTTTTAAGTGTAGCATCGCGTATCAACTATTTCGGGACTACTCCCTCATAGTCATCGCACTACGTCCTAAGAAAGGCCAAGTGGGGTTAAAGGTAACTAAAGGTCCCCAGTATCATAGGCTCCTAGGTCGAAAATAGTGAATGTTTTCACGAATACTCGTTCAACAGTACTAATTTTCAAGAGGGTCTCAACTGAGCGGTGATTCTCAAGTCAGCTTGGTCGGGACTCACTCCCTATAAGCCTCGTCGAATATATCACCTTCCTATCATAAGCATACTCAAGTCTGGGTGTAGGACTTATCTCACAACAATGATATCCTAAGCAAGGTACAACAAATATAAATAGATAATATAGCAAATAGCATAAAAAAAACAAAATAGGGATAACCCTCAAAAGATGCGTTGTCGTCCCCAGTGAAGTCGCCATTTTGATCAAAATAATTTTAATTCTCAAATTCCCTAGAATACGTGGCTCATGAGGAGGTCACTCCAAGAGAATTTTACAGAAAACATGGCGTTCGAAATGTTCCAATGTCTTCAAACTCTTGGAGAGATTCGTCGAATCTCGACGTAACTGCCCTGATTGAAGGTATCACGACCGAGTCTTCAAAAATCAGATCCCTGTTAGATGTCAAATTTCACTTATTTGATCTATCATATATTGGCATCTTTCACTCATTTTTGTCATATAAGTGTTGAAAACCACTCTGGTTTTGTTTGGTTTGCAATATAGAGTGAAAATATCTTGGTACCTTTGATTTGTGTGCTATTGTGCAGGAATCAGGCACAAAACAAATGGAAAAGTAAGACATAAGAAATGGGCAAAGGAACCAAGAAAACAAGCAAACAAACAGCAAGCTCGCTAGGCGAAGATGTAGCGAGGAAAGGTAGCGAAGCACTCTCTAGGCGAAGGCGCAGCGAGTCTCAAGCGAACACTTCCAGTAGCAAAATGCTGTCAGCTCGCTAGCAGCTCGCCTAGCGAACAGGTAGCGAACGTTCGCTAGCAGCTCGCCTAGCGAACAGGTAGCGAACGTTCGCTAGCAGCTCGCTTAGCGAGCAGGTAGCGAACGAGCCCAGAATTGAACAGATCTGAAAGTGCCAAAAGTTCTCGTTCGCTAGCTTTTCGCCTAGCGAATGTGACAGAACCAAAACATGAATTTAAGTCATTTTCTTGTATTTTTAGGTCATAACTCCATTTTTGGGAGAAAACTTGAGATAGTAACATTTTGGAACATCAAAACTCATCTCTCTTCATTTCTTTAGAGAGAGAAACATAAAACCCTAAGAGGGAGGAGGTAAGATCTTCGATCTCTTGTTGGGGTTTGGATTGTAATCTTTTGATAACTTATGTATTTCATCTAGTTTATGTTTGTGAACTATTTTGGATTCTCTATTGAATGTTTATCTTTGATTGCTTGTTTGTGGGTCTTGACAAAACCATTTCACATCTTTGATCTCAGATTTTCTTCTATCAATGAACAAACTTTTGACATGGTTTTGAAGTTGATATTCATTGTATCTTCTATGGTGTTGTGTTGATTAAGTAGCATGGGTAGGATCGATATGATATTGTGTGGGTATGTGATAATAGTGATGAAGAACGATGTTCACCGACATTTGGCATATTAGATGAATACATGTAAAAAGGGTTAAGCGTGTGTACGTATTCTGATCATTGTGTTTATTGCAAACCAATTGTTTATCCGATATGGGTGTTATCTTTGTTTACCTGTTTATCTTTGATTTGAATCGTGATAGAGATATACTTTTCAGATCTGGAACTAGGATGATTACCTGTTAGGTCCTAATTGCTAGAGATAGTTTTAGACTTAGCATTTGTGTTAGTATCGATTCTTAATGCTCTGTGTTGTCGAGTTGTGTGAGAGATCAACAATGAGACAATACGGTTATTTTCTCGACGTTGCGTTAGAGATAAGCTCTGTCACGAGTGATACGTGAGGATATTAGACGAATGATTGCGCGGTGTTTAATTTGATCAGAAGAACGCACATGTTATCAATTGATGAAATCCAATCCCAACAAGGCTCCGTTAATATTTCAGTCTTTATTTTATATTTTCTGTTTTTATTTATGGTTCTTTGAACCTCTTTAACCAAACCTTTTGAACAAGAAGCTTGGAAATATGGAAACCATTGAACGGCGTTCAAGTCGCACTAATCCCTGTGGAGACAACAAAACTGAGTTACTTAATATTTTTGCTTGCTGCTTTACCGCATCAACAATCCCCAGTGAAGAAAAGAAAAGAAAATGCATAATAGTCAGAAAAGAAAATGCAAAGTGAAAACATCATGCATAGCAATGGTTGGTTACATTGTTTTCAATCTTTTTAGACGTTGTAATAAAAGAATGACATCGTCTTCACAAAAGTCACCATTAACACAAACTTTCTATAAACATATAATTGCTTGTATACCAACTTTACACAGGAATGCTGAAAACAGACGGGTGGTTTCTGCCGTTCACAAGTGATTTGATGACAGCATCCCCAACTCACAAATTGTCTTCACAATATAGAACAAGAACAGACAACCTTCTTGGATGAATCATCAATCTTCTTTTCTGTTGAGGAAACACAAATGCAAATATCAGATCCAACTGCTAACATGAAGAAGTTGGTTCTGATGTGAACCCCTTTTGATTTTCATACCAAATAGTAAACATAGCAATAATAAATTAAAAATAAAAGCCGAGACTATATATATCAGCGGCATTCCTAATAGAAACTATGCATGATTGTAAGTTTATAACTCCCTATGCAATATATCACCAAACTATTTATTCCCAATAGAAACTATGGAACTTACCGGCTTTAGATTTTGATAGAGATGGCTGTACAACAACATGCATGATTATAACTCCCCCGGCAATATCGCTGAATGGTGCTTTACACTGACCGACAGTCTTGTTGTTTTCCAAGATTTTACCAGAACTAATCAATTTCACTTCATTTGCTGACTTTGGCACGACTGTTTTGCCTACAATGTGAAAAGTACGACAGATAAAATGAGAGAACACATAAGAGAACATGTGCGATGTGTAATCTTCAATAAGTTGTAGAAAAGAATCCAAAGAGTTACATGAATAATCATCAAAACAAGCGACTGAATAAGTAAATGTTGAAAACCTGTTAGAATTAGCAATAATCACAATGTCATAATATACCGGTCAATATCAACTTAATAAAAATGGCAGTCGTGTTTATTCTACTGTTCAGCTATAAAAGCAACCAGATTGTAGTATGAATTGAATATGCGAAGGGCTGCCATTTTCCTTGCAGAGTTTGACAACAACTGTCTAAAATAAATATACCTAATGTTTATAATGAGCAGAGTAGTCAATCCCAGATAGCGGCACAAAGTGGCCGACCCCAAAAATTGGATAGTGGGATGACCACTATTTGATTATTTTTTGGACAAATTACATGAATAATAATTATAAACATATGAAGTGCATAGCGAAGAACTTATGATTTTTCTTTAGAATGGCTGAAGTGCAGAAAAGTCGATGAAGGAAGGTTAGGGTTGAGTCTCAACTCAAATTTGATTGAAAAAACCAAAATTACCCTTATAACATCTTAAATTGAAGGGTCATCGGTTTTTAAGAGGGGAAAAGGATAGCAGGACAGAAACCACTCTGGACCGGAATCGCTCCGCCCCAGCTACCAGCAGTAGTGTTCTGCACAGCTAAGACTCTTCCCATAGCGGCCGGCCTCCGCTCTGCTATAGCAGGATAGCGCCGCTATTGACAGCTCTAATAATGTATGTTCAGCATATTTTTTATACGTTCAATGACCTTAGATTTGTAGCATATACACAGTCAACATCTTAGATCTGTACCATGTCCTTGTTGACTGAGCAAAATCTACAACTACCACACTATTAGCTTGCCTTCTAAGAAATTCCGTCACTGAGTTAAAAAATCTGAAACTCCTTTTATGAGGCTTTCCTCTTCGTTGTGATCATTGTCTAGTAACTATGCCCTTGTTGGCTTGAGTACCAACTACGACTACCACACTTTCAGTTTTCCCTACTATCTATGGCTTCAATGAACCATTCCAGCCAACACTAGTAGTTGAGTACCCGTGTTCTGTTTTCTACCAAGTCTTTTCTCTTTCCCGCCAATGTCAGATCTAGTTCTGTACCTTCATTGACCTGACTCAACAAGCCAATGCCCCCATTTGATGTCCTAAATGAATATTGATAAGGACAACAGACTGACAGTGGGAAATGACAGTCCCATAATATTTTATTCTATTAAGACAATCTAGCTTTAAAACACAACCAAGAGCCACATGCCTGTTTGTATGTATGAATGAAAATTATATTTTACTCAATTCAGAGTAGTTGTAATCAAAATTCAAAACCAAGTGCTACATGCTTGTTTGCTTTGTGAGGATGAAAATTATTGTTTATTCTACTTAGATAAATTTTAAGTGAAAAAACAAGTGATGCATGCTTTTTTCTATGTGAAAGAAAATTATGCTGAAAAACTTGTTCCCTCTCCTCATTATTCCGGCTACTCACCCAAATAAACCCACACTCATACCCGTGAAATGAAAACAAATGACAATAGAAAAAGTAAGCATTATCGCAACATTGATAAAAATAAAATTGAAAAAGTAAGCTAAGAATGTACAACTGTAACAGCACACAATCTACGGTCCTCGACAAAAAGGAGGCAGAAACATAAAACGGGCATGACTTGAACGATGTAGTTCAGAGTTTAGTCAACACAAGGCAACTACGGCTATTAAATAAAACACAAGGAAACTACGATTTTCTTGATATCATATATATCATGATATCAATAATAGCTATGGTTTCTGAACTGAACAAGTTGGCAACCTCGCATACCGATACAACCATCAAACGACAAAGCACTCCCGAATGTTCGCGAACTTTTAATGAAAACCCCGAACTAAACAACTTTACTAGCTTTTAAAATCACATTCACATACGACACAACCATCAAGACAAAACATTCTCAAATCTTTGTGAACTTTTAATAAAAACACCGAATTCAAAAAATCACTTTCACATATGACACAACCATAAAAGACAAAACATTACCAAATCTTCGCAAACTTGTAATAAAAACACCAAATTCAACAACTCTACTAGCTTTTAAAATCACATTCACATACGACACAACCAGGAAAGGCAAAACATTACCAAATCTCCGCAAACTTTTAATAAAAACACCGAATTCAACAACTCTACTAGCTTTTAAAATCACATTCACATACGACACAACCAGGAAAAACAAACCATTACCAAATCTTCGCAAACTTTTAATAAAAACACCGAATTCAACAACTCTACCAGCTTTTAAAATCACTTTCACATACGACACAACCAGAAAAGACAAAACATTCCCAAATCTTCGCGAACGTTTAATAAAAACAACGAATCCAACAACTCTACTAGCTTTTAAAATCACTTTCACATACGACACAACCAGAAAAGACAAAACATTCCCAAATCTTCGCGAACTTTTAATAAAAACACCAAATTCAACAACTCTACTAGCTTTTAAAATCACAAACTCGATACGGCCAAACTCCTACTCATACCACCTCATACATAAATATGTAAATCCAACTTAAAAAAAAATCGAAAGTGATAAACTATTATTATTTAAACTAATACTAACAGTCATCTTACAACCTCCCACAACAAAATTCGAACTCCGTCTCTCAATTTCAAAAATAAAAACTCTATTAACGCTAACCTTACACCTCACTGAAAAAAAATGCAAATCCAACTTATTAAACCAAGCAAGCAAATTCCACAATTAAAAAAAACACTTCCTAATAATCTAAAAAAACACATAAACTAATCAATAATCAAACCTGAAAAAAACAGTAAACACAATTGAATTGAAAACAAAAAGGTAAAAAAAAAACGAACCTTTAGGATAATCAGAGACAATCCTTTGCTTCAGCATATCAACAGTAGCAGCAGAAGAATACCGAAACGGTCCAATATCAGAACCATCGTATAACCTAAACTTGATATCAACCAACTCCTCTTCCGGCATTTGAATTCCCTTTGACTCAAACCCTAATTCTTCTCTACTCTACCTCTTACTCAAACCCTAATTCTTCTACTTTTTCTTCCTCGATTCCTAAAATATAAAATCGAATTTGATTTTATAATTCAATTAATCAAAGATCTAAATAATTAAAACCAAGATATAGTATATTACCTTATTGGGATTGATTTGATCACAGTAAAATTATTTCAAAGTTGATTTGATTTGACTTCGTTTTTGTTCAATGTTTTTTTTTTCTTTCCTTTTTCTTCTTCTTCTGTTTTGTTGTTGGTGGTGATTTTAAAAATAAAATAAAGATTAAATTAATTGAAAGGATAATAAATTAAAAGAATGTTGATTAAGTTGTTGTTAGCAAGTAGTAGTGATGATTACTGAACGCTGAGTCAAAGAAAATAAACACGGTTTATAAAACACCGTTCAGCTGTTCACGTTAGGACAAACGGCGCCGTTAGTCTTAATTGAAATTTTTTTGGATCATAATTAGAATTGAAACGTGGGTTTGGGTTTATTATGGGCCAAGATAACTTATACCACCCTCTATATTTCTATAATACTCGTGTTATTTTTGATAAAATTTTATTAAAAAGTTTGGATAAAATATTTGGTAGAATATATAAAAAATCTGATAAAAATCAAAAAATTTGATAGTATATCTAAAAAATCTGATGTATCGAGTATTTCAAAAACTTGGCATATTATGTCATAAACCGATTATTTTAAAAGTGTTCACATTTTTTGTATTTTTTGATCAAATGTGAAAATTTTCGGTAGTGCAACAAGTATCGGTTTTCCAAATTAGCATTCAATTACCAGATTTTTAGTGGGTCGTGCAAAAAATGGTGGTGTTAATTGAACAATTGAGATTTTGCCAATAATTTTGGGAAGATGTGATTGCAACAAACGTTTTGTATGGTCCATAATGCATCAAAAGTTGTATAAATAGGGGTAATGTGTTGTTAAGAAAAATATCCTACAATGCTTTAGTTTTTTTATTAAAGTAGAAGTGTATTTTAACAGGGTGAAACCTCCTGTAAAGTTTCGGCTCGCGCGAGGGCAACACATGTGTCGCCCTTTTGAGATCCAAGTTGAATGATATGTTGAGAGACACCGAGAACATAAAGGCTAGTAAGATTGAGTTTTGCAAGACTAGATTGATATTGATGGAAACGTGACATACAACCTTGTTGAGTTGAAGATCGATGAATATTTAAAAGTTATGTGGAGAACATATCACCGTAGGCTAACTAAGGGACCGATCAAGTTTAATGCAACAATTTTTAGATCTGTCGACGACATGATCAAGATGTTGAAACATCTAGAATCATCTAATAGTGTTTAAGTTTTTTAATTAATTATTGTTTTCTTAAGTTATGTAACAATTTGTCTAAGTTATGTAACTGTTTGTCAAATGTTAGTTATGTTCATCATGAATCAATGGAAGTGCCAATTTGTTATCTAATAAACAGTAATGTGCAAATGTCTGAGTAATACTACACATAATATATAAATAATATAAAAAATGATAATAAGATCTAAATAGGTCCCTGATCAGCATCTTCATGCACATTCTTCTAATGTTATACTTAGGCATTCCTACAGTTTATTTGAGTATTTTTACTATTTTAATGTGTTTTCATATTTAAGTTTGTTTCTAGTTTTATTTTATTTTTGCAGCTTATTTTCAGCACTAGCAGTTACTTGATATATGTTCACCATACAGATCGTAACTAAAGCTACGAGAATCGGATTGACGTGTTCTAATAGGCGTTGGAAATCCAAGACAAAGAGATACAAGTTTCGTGTTGAGACCGAGAGCTGATTCGGAGTGAAATAGTATCGAATAATTCATTGAAGTTTCAGACTTTAGAAATATTTTATTTTGAACCGGGTTTTTTTAAATGTTTTTCGACCCAGTTGGGTTAGAAACCGGATTTGATGCTTCCCTATACCTAGTAGCAGTCGCGCTACTGTTGAGGACATTCTTTTCACTATTCACGAATTTTACTTTTGCTTTTTACAAATTTCATGGAGAACTAAACCTCTCAGGTTGATCTACTGTAATCAGGTTCAATTACCTTGAGACTTGTATAACTTTACAATTCAACTACTATTCATATCAATCTTGTTTTATGATTATCATTTGCTTAATCCAATTTGTCATAGAGTAGTTTTGTTGATTCGATTGATTTATATTTCCTAAATTTAATTGTGTGTTATCGTTTGCTTAATTCGCTTATTTCTTAACCGTTTGCTTAATTCGGAGACTAGGAAACATAACTCTTATAATGTCATTCTCGCTTGTTGATTGATATTGTGATCAAATATGAATAGAATCCACTTAGGGCAGTGAAGTTATAATAATCGATGATAGGTAAGAACCGAAACAACATATTAACTTATTTTCATAATCACTTATTTTAATCACTTTTTATCCTTATTTTGGTAATAGAACTGAAACCTAAACAACCCCTAATCATTATTAGTCGGTTAATAATCATACAAGAGTCCTTGTGATACGACATCCGAGTGTCACTTCCTGTTACTACTTTTAAAATCTCGTTTTTGACCTGTGTGCGATAGCAGATCAAATTGGCACCGTTGTCGAGGATTCTTGTCGTTTTTAACTATTAGTTGAGTCATAGGTGTCGATTAGTGCATTTTGAACTTTTGTTTTGTTCTTTTACCATTTTCCCGTCCAAACGTCTGTGTTTCATCCGACCTAGTCAAAAAAATTGGTTTTGGTGAAAACTGTCTTCTTTTAGAAATCTCTTTCGTGCATTTGAAGCAGAAAAGTCGTGTGGTCATTAGTCCATACTCTGGAAGAGTTACGGGATTTCACCCAACAACAATTGATATTACCATTACCACCACCACAAAACCCTCCACAGGCTGCAACCACTTCTGCCCCAGCTTCCGGACCTTTATTAGAGGATATTGTTAAACAAATGGCTGTCAATAATCTCCAATTCCAACAACAAACAAATTATAGTATTCAGGCTTTGCAGACACAGATTGGACAGTTTGTTACTTTAATGAATGCCATGCAGCAATCTTAAGAATCAAACCAACTACCTGCCCAAACAGTAGTGAATCCAAAAGAGTTACTTTCTGATTTAGTTGATGATACTTATTCTAATTTGTTTTCAGTTGATTTTCAATCATTGTCTAATTTTGATGATAGTTACTCATGTGATGATTGTACAGACACTAACCTTTGCTCTATTTATGGTGAGATTGAGGCTGCCTTGCAGGTTGACATTTTTCCTACATATGAAGTTATATATGAAGTTGTTTATGCAGCTGATGCTCTTGACATCACGAACCTCACCATCCATTGAACAACCTCCTTCCTTAGAGATTAAACCACTTCCTAATAATCTGAAATATGCTTATTTAGAGAGGGGTAAAAAGCTTCCAATTAAAATTTCTTCTAACCTTGATTTTGATCAAGAAAATAAGCTTTTGCAGGTTTTGAAGAAGCATAAGAAGAGAATTGGATGGACCTTGGTTGACACTCGTGATTTTAGCCCCTTAATCCTTTGATATCTGATGTTGTGAAAAAGGAGATCGCGTTCACGGGCCCATTTGACACTTTTACTTATCTAAGATTCTTCTTTGATCCTGGAATAAAAGGCGAAAGCACTAATAAAAATTTCAAGGTCGATGGATGCTACCCAAAGTTACTCCCTACTTTGGAAGAGAAGACTGTAGAAAATCTTTCTTTGGGAAAGGATTCTTATGCGATTACCTATCCGCCTTGACTACACGAGTGTATTCTTTCCTTTTTCTCACTCTTATTTTATATTTATGTTCTTTCATTGAGGACAATGTATGTTTTAAGTGTGGGGGCGAGAACCATTTTTTAATGTGTTTTCTTTCATTATTCTTTGTTTTTGTTCGGTTATCTTTAAGTGAGAAAAAAATTAGACTTAGAAACACAATGCGTCTTTTGAAATTTTTAGGCTATAGATTAATTTAAGGTTAGATTGTGAATACTTGGGAAAAATTCATAAGATCGATACCATTTTAACACCTTAAGTTTCCCGAATATGGAAATCGATTTAAATACTTGTTATGATATAGCCTTGAGTTATCATCCTTTAATAACTCTTAAGTAGTTTATCTAACAGTAAGCACCATCTAGAAATCACATACTAAGTAATTAAGCTGATGAAATAAGTGAATGATCTTGTGCTTAATAAGAAATATGAATAGGAATCTGCCTTTTGAGTTAGGTGACCCTCACTCGGTCACTTAGCCTAACTGTTGTGAAACCTTCAAGAAAAAATTAATGTTGCTAAAGTGGTTAATTTTGAATTGTTGACAAGATATGGATCATAGTCACTAATAGGCTTATTTACCATGTGTGTGAATAGATAACGAGTTTAATATGATTGCATTAGAGTGAAAGAGAGCAAAAAGGAGAATGAGTAAGTTAAGCTTAGGCATAATAACATGATTCAGATTGATTTGTATAGGAAGGAGGTCTATGACCGCACAATTGCGAATTTGCGTTCTTACGATATCCTTAGTATGCAAAATTAGTACCTATCGATGCACTCTTGACCGAAGAAGAGTTTGTAGCCTAGAATGAGTATCTAAATGCTATTGTTTTCCATGAGTCTTGATACTATTTTGCTCGAAGTGCAAAAGTTTAAGTCTGGGGGAATTTGATCAGTGCATCTTCATGCACATTCTTCCATTGTTATACTTAGCCATTTCAAAATTTTATTTGAGTATTTTTACTATTTTAATGTGTTTCCATATTTAAGTTTGTTTCTAGCTTTATTTTGTTTTCACAGCTTATTTTCAGCACTAGCAGTTACTTGATGTATGTTCATCGTGCAGACTGTAACTGGAGCTACGAGAATCAGATTGACACGTTCTACTAGGCATTGGAAAGCTAAGGCAAAGAGCTACAAATTTTGTGTTGAGACCAATAGCTGATATGGAGTGAAAATGTTTCAAATAATTCATTGAAGTTT